TATACTGTGTATTATAAATATATATGTAAATATTTTTGAGCTTTTGAGCTTTGTACTGGGACACAACTAAGTTAACCTGGAAACAATTTGATCCTTTTCTGGCTTGCTTTTAAAGTTTGTTTTAGGCAGAACCAGCTTAGCCTTTAGTTTAGGGCTAACTTGATCCCGCAATAGATACAATAACCTTCCAGGTACTCTCCCAGGTACCCCAGCTATCACGAGGTAGCATGACTCTGGCTGTTGAGAATGTGAACTATTCCCAACCCCAAGTAAGAGCCAATAATTGATTCACCTGCTCCTTTCCAGTAGTTCTTCACCTGGCCTCAGGTAGTTGTACGAGCATTTGCTGATCATACTCAGTTGAAGACTTGAGGAGAGTCCTTTCCAATACTCTGCCCTGCAAATTCTAGTTGTCTTGGCCTCCTCAAATTCTCAATTCTGTTTCCTCAACTCGAGGAGAATGCAGAGCTTTTTGGGTTCCCCTCCGTGTAGTGTAGCCTAAAAACACACTTCAGGGAGGAAGCTGGGGCAGATGTAGGGCTCACATTTCTCTTTTCTCAGAGATCTCTGTCCTGTGTACCTGTTTCCCAATGTTTGGAAACTTTTTCCAAACATTTTGTCTGGTTTTTAGTTATTTAAAACAGTGGGGGCAAACCAGAACCTGTTGCTCGATCTTGTCCATGAGTGGAAATGGCTTGTTGGACTTTGAATGTCTTATAAACTTTCTACTCAGTTATCAGTCAGTGAGCATATACTGAGGCAGGCCTTGTCCCTCTGCCTGGGAGGGAGTAATTGTCCCTCAGTATCTGGGTGGGGGGATTGGTTCCAGGACTACTACAGATACCAAAATCCGTGGACACTCAAGTTCCCCATATAAAATGGCATATTTACATAAGAAACTATGCATATCCTCATATACACTTTAAGTCATCTCTAGATGACTTAGAATACCTAATACAATGAAAGTGTTATGCAAATAGTTGTTATACTGTGTAGTTCTTAAATTTGTATTTTTAGTGTTGTTGTTATTTTTTACTGTTTTCAAATATTTTCCACCTGTGGTTAGTTGAATCCACAGATGCAGAACCCACACATATGGAGGGCGACTGTATATCCTTCCCGCCTAACTCCATTTGAAGAACTCAGGAAATCCTGCTCTCACAGTGAACAACCATTTTGCATATGCATTTTATTTTTAGACAACTGGCCAGGGCAGAAAACCGTACTCCCATTATTTTTGCAAGGCTCCTAGTATCTCAAAAGCCACTGAAATATCTTTAAAAGTAAACTAATCTAGGAAAGGGAAGATATAATATTTGAAGTATAAATACTTGTAATTGAAGAAAACTCAAGATGTCCGTCTTAGGTTGGAAATCGATGCTTTTAGGAGCTAAAAAAGTCTTTGCCATGGCTTCAGAGGGGAGAACTCTTTTAGCTCTCCCAACTTCACAGCAGGTCAGATGTTTCCCTAAAAGCAGCCCAGGGTTTGGCCTAGTTAACAAACGGGCATCCCTGCCTGCTGGCTGTGACTGCTCCCTTTGCAGAGCTCACTGAGCAGGGCCTGGGCAAAGGAAATTGAGGTAGCTGGTTAAGGAGCATCTGAGTTGTGCTCTCTCTACCTTCGTATTAGAAAATGGAAAACCCCTTTGCTACTGTGGTGTGCCACACTAAAATACCTCCGGGGTGCTGGCCTTCCAGGTGCACACCCTTCTCCAGTGAGGCCAGGAAAGGGGGTTTTGCAGCAGAACAATGTGTAGCTTCACGACTGGCTGTCAGCTTTGCCTCAATTGTAGATTTTGCCATGTAACTCTGTGTTAAGAGCTAGAAGGATATCCCTGAGCTGAGGAAAACAAAATACTCTTCATCTGAATCCTTCAGTGGTTGTGATGATGTTAAAGTCTTGGGGGAAAATGAAGGAAATCAGATCAAAGTGGCTTCATATCATTTTCAGAATTACTTCTGCACCATTTGGATCCTATGTTTTTGAGAGAATGGAGAAATAGAATCAGTACCTTGAAGCCACATGAAGAATCTACCAGAAGCTTCAGTGTGATTGAGAAGGGCAGACTCTAATCTAGATAAAAAGGGATGA